TCCAGACAAGCAATTTAGTGGGGTGAGTGGGTTTATGATCAACAGAGACCAACTCCACATAAAACAATCCCGAAAATTCACTTCTAATTATGTACATAGACCATTACCCTGAAAGGTTCTGGAGATTGAACACATTGCCTTTTGCCTAAGAAGGCCCTTACACCTGCGGAGCAGCCAGTGGCACGCGATGCACACTGTACGCAGAGTCGCAGACGTGGACAACATTTGAAGTCAAGTCAAGCCTCGAGCGCTCTCATTACGTAAATATAATTATCAACACAAGATCACAGGGTGTACTATAACCATTCAAGCGATAGTACTCCGTACAGTAGTAGCGAGACCAGTTAGTTAGAGGCTAGTATGTAATACATTGTCACCGGAGATAGCACTTCGGGGAACGGACACCGAAAGCTTAGAATCTGGTCATTTCGGAGTTCTATTTAATCAGAAAAGGGTTTATGTTCTTGCCTCGAAAAAAGTATATTGTGAACTGAATCGACATATCATGCAGCAAGGAGGTTTCAATAGGAAGTGGATCGTGAACTCCAAAGCAGATCCTGCATTTTGTACTACATCGCGCACGTGACCCCAGCCCATGTACTTCGTATTCCGTATTCAAATACAAATGAGTGCAACACAAGAGTCTAGATCTGATGGGATTTTGAACACATTTGTATCCGACCGGGCTGTTGGGTTGGGGCCAATGCTGACATGTATGAGACGACCCTCTCTGCAAGGGGAACCCCTCTGATTTGAGACAGAAACTCATGGACATTTCCATTTTTTTACTGCAGGTTCCCGAGATCGTCCGGGCTCAAGATACCTGGCTATTCAACTCTCTTCATTCCATGTTCTCATCAGTTGAATGCCACGCTGTTGATCGCCATTTCCCCGCAGATTCGTTTTTATCAGAGGCACTAAAGATCAAGACCTGATATTACCTACATCAAATAAAAGCCAACGGTCCATATGTCCACATGATGCTATCACGGAGATGAGCTTGGCACTCCTCTCGACTCGTGCCTCATTATTTTACCCTGGGCCTATCGGTGATTCCCTCAAACCACCATTTCTTTTTCGTCTGCAGCCTTTATTTCCCACACCTCTTACCACACTCTTCCTCTCCACACCTTTATTTGCGCCATACCGCTGTATGGCCCGTCACCTGCACGACTCGCACCGAACTAGAGTCAAATTACTCCGGTGCTCTTGTCTGTCTAGTGACGCCACTCATTTCGTCGATCCGCATAGACCGCTGCTTGTCTTCCATGCGACCTGAAGGTATGCCGTTTCTTCCGGAAACTGCTAGACCGCGTTTTGGGCTTTGACTTTGAATATAGCCACTTTGGGAAAGTCCACCATTTCCACAGTCTTTCCATTCAAATTCCCCTATCCTGACAACCCCCTAACATCACTCTGTCCCCCTCTTAGCATGAATCTGCTTCCACTCGGGCGTTGGCGGAGGTCAGCAGATTAGCGTCCTTGGGATTTATCGAAACCTGCAGGTCTGCTGCTACCTACCCTTTTTATATTATGCCAAGCCGCTTTGATATTCCCCCGTAGAGAGCACATTCTGGCATGCGGGTCTCGGACGGACCTTTGGCTTCTCCCCCTCTCTTCGTAGATTGAGCTCGACTATAAAAATGTCACTGGCATTCCTCTCCTGTAAACACAACGCCGATCCCTTTCTTCAGTCGTCCTGTCAGAGTGCTTTGCAGCCAAGCTCCCTAGAGCTGATTTCCCTTTCTGCAAATAAATAACAGAGCAGACTTGCCCCTGCATTGTACTTTGTATATCTTACCATTCCTCCGTCCAACCCTGTCATAATGCAGCTGTATCGCCTCGGTCTGCTGGTCGCCTCCTTTGTGTCCTCTATTGGAGCACAGTCGACCTTCTCTCCTGCCCGTCCCCCGGCTATACCCCTCGCTGTTAGGTCACCGTATCTGAGTACTTGGCTCAATGTAGGAACCGATGGTGGTAATGGCGGGTACTTAGCTGGTGAATGGCCTGTCTTTTGGCAGTAAGTTGATTATTACCCTCCTTTGGGGTGTATTCGAACGTTCATACTAAAAAAAGATGATCAGGAACCAGGTCAGTGGGTGGGCAGGTATGATCCGCGTCGACGATAATACCTATACATGGATGGGTATTCCTGGATCCAACACCGTCAATCAGACCGCGTTTGAGTATACTTCAACCAAGAGCATCTTTACTATGAACGTGGAGAATAAGGTTGAAATGAATATTACTTTCTTGTCGCCTGTTACGCCTACCGATCTCAAACGACAGTCCCTCGTTTTCTCTTATCTTAATGTCGAGGTGTCCTCTCTTGATGGCCAGAAACATGACGTACAAGTCTACGCGGATATTTCTGCAGGTTTGTTCTCCGGCCTCGTTTCCTACATACAATGACTGACGAAATGATAGAATGGGTATCGGGCGACCGAAATGCCATTGCAGAATGGGAGTATGGTACCACTGATGGCGTGGCTTACCATAAGGTACACCGACAGACTCCGCTGGCATTTTCCGAAAAGAACCAGCAAGGCGAATGGGGTAACTGGTACTGGGCCACCGATGACTCGAAAGACATGACCCACCAGTCTGGCGCGGATACCGACGTCCGTGGTGAGTTCGCAAGAAATGGAAAGCTCACCAATGGCGGCGACACCAACTTCCGGGCTATCTCCTCCGCCTGGCCCGTCTTCGGGTTCTCATCTGATCTGGGCTCGGTTGATTCTTCGCCCGTCAGCACACTCTTCTCACTTGGTCTGACACAAGATGAAGCTATTCAATATGAAGGCGCTTCACAGTATGCCCCAGTACCGTCCTTGTGGAAGAGTTATTTCGGTTCCGAGTTGGCTGCTCTTTCATTCTTCCACAAGGATCATGTCGAAGCGAGCAATCTCGCAAGCTCTTTCGATAGCAAGGTGGCCCAGGATTCAATTGCCACAGCTGGCCAGGACTATCTCACTATTACCTCGCTCTCGGTTCGCCAGGCATTTGGTGCTACCCAGCTGTGTGGTACAAAGGACAAAACCTATCTGTTCCTGAAAGAAATCTCTTCTAACGGCAATATGAACACTGTGGATGTTATCTTCCCAGCGTACCCGGTTTTCCTGTACACCAACCCCGAACTCTTGAAGCTCGTTCTCAATCCTCTATTTGAGAACCAGGAGGCTGGAAAGTATCCTAATAAGTATTCTATACACGATCTAGGCTCGTCTTACCCGAACGCCACTGGTCACTCCGACGGCAGCGACGAGAAGATGCCATTGGAGGAGTGTGGAAATATGCTCATTATGACTTTGGCTTATGTACAGAAGTCGGGTGACACTGACTTTTTGAACGACCACTACACTCTGCTCACGCAGTGGACCAGGTATTTGGTCGAGGACTCGCTTTACCCTGCAAACCAGATCTCAACGGACGACTTTGCTGGCTCCCTAGCGTGAGTGAGCCCTTCCTTATCTAAAAGTTTTCAAACCTAACCTGCACAATTAGCAACCAAACCAACCTCGCACTTAAGGGCATGATCGGTATTCAGGCCATGGCTGTCATTGCGAACCAGACTGGTCACACTGCCGATGCTGCCGATTACTCGAGAATCGCCAAAGACTACATTGCTCAGTGGCAGGACTTGGCTATTGCCAAGGATGCTAACCCTCCCCGAACGACCTTATCCTACGGTGACACAGCTAGCCATGGTATATTCAACCCTCTGTCTCGAGTCTATGAAATCTTGCTTACCATTTCTGTAGGTCTGCTCTACAACCTCTTCGCCGATGCCCAGCTAGGCCTGGATCTTATTCCACAGTCTGTTTATCAGATGCAGAGCGACTTCTACCCAACTGTTGCAAATAAGTACGGGGTGCCGCTAGACACCCGCCACACATACACGAAAAGTAAATGCCCAGACGCTTTACCATTTATTGATTACTTACAATTCGATAGGTGACTGGGAGTGCTTTGCAGCAGCGGTCAGTTCAGTCGATACTCGAACTATGTTTATCAAAAGCCTGGCGACATGGATCAACGAGACACCCACAAACCGACCCCTGACTGATCTGTACGACACCACGTCCGGAAAGTAAGTTCATCTACCCTCAACCCCCTAACAATCCTTGCTGATGAAGCCTAGTTACCCTCAAAATACTTTTGTCGCTCGCCCCGTTATGGGTGGCTCCTTCGCTCCTCTCCTAGTCCGCTAGCGGACCCTTTCGCTTCTTGTTGATTTATTTCACTTATAACACCTTCTGGCCCGTTCACTCGTTGATCGCCCTTCCCCCTACAAAAACTCTCGCTTAGAAGTTCTAGCCAGGTATAGCTACCTTCAGTGATGGTGGACGTCGTGCCGGATACATTCCGTTCGCTTGATAATGTCTTTTCCTTGCTTATACCCATTCATTGGCTTCCCTTTTGGCATGGGCTGTGCGAGTTTTGTTGAGATCCCCGCATATAAATTTATATTATTATGTGACGATTCTCGTACATGCATGAATCTGTGGCTTCAGCCTCTCCGTGTTATCTAGGGATATGTTAAGATGCTTCAACATTGAGGCATATATCAGTTTATACCAAATTCGTGCTGCAATACCCTTGCACCACGAAATATACGGGATTTGGTCAACATTCATATGAAATTTTGTTTATATCGTTTTGAAAATCTACAGGATTCCGATGATTCACTTCCTGGTCATGCTTGGGTTACTCGAATCCATGATAGAACTAGCATGTTGTAATAAACATCTTCGTGGCTATAAGGTGGAGGATGCCTAGACGGAGTCCGCCTTCCATATACTTTCCAGTGTCACAACCATGTTATAGGGTTGTTTTTCTACTTCATTATTTCCAGGCTCATAAGGATTGCTACAAATTTGTATATATTACAATGTGGTTTTGGCTGCTTGGCCTTGAGGGATTGTTGAATAATCAACTAGTAGCTAAATTCATGTCGTGGCTACTACAGAGTTTTTGTTGCGTTAGCTCCTACCCCGTCGTCAATTCCAACCGTCAATTCCACATTGTCTGATCTTGTCGTGCATATCCACACAGAATTTTAAGAAATCCATGCTCGAAATCTCCTTCACCGGATCCTTGATATTCTCCATCTCGTGGTTTCGAATTTCAATTGAGGTTCGAAGCTCCGGGGTCTCCTGCAGCTGAGATATCATGATCACCATCGGAACGTATGGAGCAAAGCCTGCTTTCAGATCGTTTGCCTTCTTGTATCTCTGTTGAACGACGTTAATGAACTCGCTTGCCGTTGTAAATTCCGTACGCTTTGTGTTGATAAACTTTATTATCGCTGCGCTGAGAGCTCCATGTCCTTCGCCTCGCATATGAAGCTTACACTGGCGCATGAAGTCGTCGGCGAATGTTGTTTCTTCCCCCCTTGACGTAATTTTTCGCACGACTTCCGGATCAATGCAGTATTCTAGCCATGCTGATACCTGCATCGACATATTCATCCATGCCTCTGCGTTCGGAGAATTCCTCATTGGTTTCTCGAGAGCCGTATTGATTAGGCGATGTAGACCACGGCCCCGGAGAATGTTGACAACACTATGATACCATGTGTCGAAGTCTTCTTTGTGTTTCAACCGCGGCTCTACCTTGTGTAGAGAAAAGTTTCCGATTACTGGCAAGTAGTCTCCCTGATCTCCAGTTGTGTTCATCGCATCTATGAAATCAGCCCAATTGCGATCGTCTGGTGCGCCAGGTCCGAGTGCTAGTCTCATGTCGTGGGTATTGGTCCTAGATAGACTCCTGTCTCCATTGTTGCCCTCCATCCTGGTGTCCTATCGCTGTGTTCCTGGATCTTTTGACGTTGTTGTTGTTGGCTGATCTGATCTGGTTGATCTGATCTGGTTGATCTGATCTCGTTGATGATTGGACGGATCTCGTTGATCCACGGGTAAGCCACAGTGGGGCAGAAAAGGTTGTTGTGCGACCCCACAAGACGGGCGGTCCACCAATGAAAATTCTGATCGGCGACTCTCTCTGCACCGAACCAGATGAAAACAATAAGAAAAGATGGAATGCCTCCTAGTAGAGATGAAAAAACTCCTCGAAGAGCGAGGGAGTCATAACCTGTTGTAGCGACTACAGAGTTGTAGGGCCAGAAAGTGGGGAGGGAGAGAGTTGTATTGGGAAGAGAGAAACTAGTTAACTACCGAACGAGAGGTTGGTGCCTTAGAACCCAGACATAAACCACAACAATTCAAACGTAGCATATGTTGAGCCCTCGACCAGAAATGGAAGGACCTTTACATCTAAAGGTCGTATGTACAGACCTTTATACGAGTCAACATATTTGACAATGGAGATGAGTATGTTCACTCGGACTTTCCATCCCAAGCATCGAAAGAGCGAATGAGGTCTGATATAAATTAGCCAGACTTCCTAAAAAGCACAATGAACAAAAAGAAAACATACCATAGTAAAGCATTATAGCTTCAAGGTGCACATCCAAGCGAATCCGCTCGTCCACAGTGTGAATATTCAGCGATCCTCCAGCCCGCGATGGACTCCAACGGTAGATATTCTCCGATAAAGACCAGTAGAAGCGCGTGTCTGTGTTTCCAGTCATGACATCTCCCGTGACAACAACGGTCGGTTTAGTTCCAGATGCAGATTTAGAAAGCGGGTTCGAGTGCGACTCAAAGACACTACGAGCCACTCCAGCAAAGTGTGCCCACACTTTCGAAGTGAGCGGATCTGTCGGGGAGATCGGAGCCGGGGAAAGAGGGAGACTAAGAGGGGACAGGGTGAGAGTACGATCGCTCACATCTCCTTCGGTGGACTCCGCTACACCGGGGAAGGCAAGACGTAGAGTAAGGTTGTGAGCTTCAGCAATAGGGCTGATAATCCGGATAGCGCGCTCACGTATCTCATCAGGCGTCTGGTGCAGTGCCACGCGGTAGTTGACGTCCGCCGAGATCTTCTCTGGCAGTGCGTTTGTCTTGACACCGCCGTGGATCAGGTCTGCGGCCTGCGATGTCTGCAGTGTGTAGCGGACTGCGGGACCGCGGGAGCTGGCAACCGCCTCGCCTAGGGCAGCAGGATCATCTGCTGCCAGTTTCTCGGATAGCCAAGTCTCAACGTGGTCCGGAGAATACCGTGCCTGGCACTCAAGCATGCCGTGGGCGGGGTGGTTGGTATCCAGCCAGGCGGGGAACAGCTCCTTCCGCTCAAGCTCGTACAAAATCTCCGCCATGATACCGATGCCGGTGTGCGCGGGCGGAATAGAGCTGTGGCCACCAGGCACGGCAATATCGATGACGAGGTCGATACTACCCTTCTCGCCGACAGCAGGGAGAGCATACAAGGTCTCGCCGTTAGGGTCAGATTCATCACCTAGGCTCTGCAGTCCCATACCACCCTCATCGAGGATGAATTCAAAAGAGTCTTTGCCGTACTTCTCCTCTAGAGCTGCTGAGATTGCTCCGGCACCTAGGAAGCCGTGTGATTCCTCGTCGAACCCGAAGGCAAAGAGCACTGTGCGTTGTGGCTTCCAGTCCTGCGAGAGCAGGTCTTCAACCACGGACAATAGTCCGATAAGAACGTTCTTGCAGTCGCTTGCACCGCGGCCCCAGATCCATTCGCCATCAAAGACACCTGCGAAGGGCGGGTGGGTCCAGTCTGATGGGTCGTCGATCGGGACGACGTCCTGGTGGGCCATGAAGAGCAGCGGTTTGCGTGAAGTGTCAGCACCTTCAAAGGTGAAGACTAGACCGAGCCGGTTAATGTGCTCAACTTTGGCACGGTCGTGTCTATGTAATTTATTTAGTATTTTATCCCTTGATCCATGGCTGGCCATGGTCAATATTTGGACAGTTTCTTACACTATAGGAAACAGCTCTTCCAACAGCGATTGGAACTTAACTACAGGCTCGAATGCCTCATCGTATGGGTCATTCATATAATCACCTACGGTGGTTGGGACCTGCACCGCGCGCGAGAGCCGTTCTGCCTGGCGGGCACGGAAGGCATCGTCGGTGAGGAAGATCTGCGACGAGTGCAGGCCATCATCGGGGAGGCTGACTGTGGGAGGCTGTGGACAGGTTTCCCGTGTAGATGGATTCGATAGAGGGTTATCATGACTGCCCGACAGATTAGTGTCGGGGAAGAGAACCTGCTGTGTGGGGATATTGAGTGCTAGCGATGGCACTGCGGCCAGGCCAAGCAGGGCGACAGATTTCATGGTTGGATTGAGTAGATGCAGTATTTTCTCTCGAAAATATCCAATGCTCTTTAAAATAATGGACGACAAGGGATTCACAATAGCTTAAACAGAGCACGTCAAGGCTTATCTTATCTTCTTTCCCCCTCTCCTCACCTCGGCTGGCGGCCGTTGCCGATGGCGAATTGCCCTATCAGGGTAGCCATTCTGCCGAGAGTTGGAGTAAGTGTAGTATCTATGACAGTTCAACTTCAATTCTTTATGTTCGCCTGGATTGAAGGTAGTAAATATGTCTCGATAAACTTTCAGGTCCCATTTCACTTCATTCCACAGAAAATATACAATGATAGATTGATGCTAGTATTCAAGCTAAGATAAAGTAAACACCAGTGGCTCGTAGCCACGGAATAATTTTAAGTCTGTGTCTACGGGTATTCCTCGGGCATTTCCCCTAATTGGAATATGCTTGTTTGGTATTTGAAAGGGAATAACATGTATTTCGTTTTCCATAAAATCGAATTAGAAACAATGATATCTTCCATCCGTATACCTATTTGTAGTAACGACACATAACTGTTCACCGGAATATTATGCCAAGTTCTTATCTCTGGCGATACCCTTGGATATTATTACTGGCCATTCGGAGTTGTATACTCAAATGACTTGTTCACGTCGAGGCCAGGTGGGTGATCATCGGTATCGTATAATGTTCGACCCAACTGACGCTAGTTGAATGTACTGCGAGGAATATGCGATTGAGGTTTGTTTTTTTGTCAATTCGGATCTCTCATACGGAGTAGTGGAATCGGAATATTGACAAATTCTTCCTCTGATCTGTTTGATCTACTTAGTTCACCGGCTGCTATTCAAATCTGAAACATCGACTATGCTGATGTAGGCAATACCGTCAGTCGTCTGACTACCGTAAAGAAGTATAGCGCTTTGAAAAACCCAGGCAAAAGAAGATCCCAGGGTGGTACAATGTAAATCGCAATCCAATACGATTAAGCTAATCCAATAGCACCTCTACGGGCTCCGTGTCCCTGGGACTTAAATTGAGGGTACCCGAATTTGGGTCAGGTTAAAATGAAATCTTTTACGGGGTACGGAGTACATGAAGATAAGGGATCGGGTAGTACATGTATGGAGTAGAGTGTAGCCTGATAAACAAGGCACCCCACAATGCGGAAGCTTCGGCTCAACCATGGATCCAAAATAGACTTATTAGGTGATCAACTTTGATGCTCTAGTTTCCCAGTTTCCCATTTAGGCCATGTCGTACACCTCAATAACTGTCTTGATACCTTACAGAATATGTAGACGGCCGACGGAGTAGAATGATTCAAAATACCAGAGTAACAGAAAACCAGAAAAAGGAGAAACAAGGGGTCACCGGCTATGACCAGCAATGACCAGCAATGTCGGATTCCTCATAAATGCAACACGCTCCCTAAAACCGCTCTATACTCAATCAAGACAAGCGGCAAAACTAGAAACACACGAACTGTTCCATAAGTTCATCCCATTTGACTCTCAAGGCTCCATCCGCCGTCATTGGCCGTACAAAAAGGGAACATGTCGCCACACCTGGGGATGCCGATCAGGCGATCGATAGGTCGTAAGCCAATGAGGCGCATGAAGACCTAGTGCGAGTTCAATAGAGCATACTAGTTAGTGTTTCAGGTTGATCATTTACTACTTATAGTCGCTTGATGGGACATTGATGTCATCTGTCGCAGCCTTACTCCACAGAAAAACACTCGGAAAAAAAATGGAACCCGGCAGGTGTTCCTGACACCCAAACAAACGGCCACTTTAAAGAAGCTCTTGATAGACCCTTTTTTTCTCCCTGTCACCTCCGCCTGTTAACTCTCTTTTTTTTTACATATTCTTTCCTTGGATTCTCAATATCTACTGTTTTTCACTCTTTAATTCGTTGATCGAATATTCCACTCACAACCAATCATGCATACCAACTACATTTTCTCAGCCCTTGCCCTAGCTCTTCCCGTATACTCGCTTAGCTCCACCGCTAGTATGGGCTGCTATTCCGCCATCGAATCATTCAAGAACCAGGGTCCCTACACCTACCAATCACCAGGACACTGCCAGACCCAATGTGCAGGCAACGGGTTTAAAGTCGCTGCCCTGAGCCGTGGCAACATGTGCTACTGCGGCAACAAAGTGCCTTCAGGCTCTGCTAAGATCGCCGACGATAAATGCGACATCGCCTGCACTGGATGGCCTGCAGCAAGCTGTGAGTTGTCTACAATATTATATACCATACCACGGGCAGCAAGATCATGACTGACAGGATATTTCTTATTTAGGCGGTGGCATGGATACCTTCAACATCATCCAGGCAACTGATGACTTACAAGCCTCGCCTTCTGAAAACGCTTCCACTACTATCGCACCAACTGCCGCCACCGCAGCTGGTGGAATCATTGTCGCTCCCTCCACAGCCGGTGCACCAACCGGCATCGTGACCGCGGCCTCAACGGTGAACTCTCAGAGTGGAAACGCCGTGTCCAAGTCTGCTGCTGTCTCCGGCGCTGCCGCAACGGCCTCGCCGACGCCCACGAGTAACGCTGCCGGGATAGTCCGCGCGGGATCGTCACTGCTCGGCGCTGTTGTTGCGGGTCTGGGCTTGCTCCTGTAAAGCTCTGAATCTTCATGTCTTGTCATTGACGCTGTCTATATACTGTCGTTTTGGTTCCATATACTCTGCATCGCATGTACAGTTATACCCCTCGCTAGTTCGTCAACAGGGCGTTCGTGATATCAGGGTTAATATTCTGTTCCTGTTCCTGTTACTGTTTCTTCTGCTGGATCTGCTGGTCGGATTTAGGATGCATTTGCTGCCTGTCTTGGGATGGGCATTCTCTACACTCGTTTTTTATTTTATTTTGGGATTTGCATGAACAAACTAGATTAGCATTCATTATTTACTACCGATGGACTTCGATATCATTTTCGGAGAATTTAAGATCTTGCCAATGACATTTATGAGAAAGTACCGAGGTAATCAATAGTGGCGATTGACATGCACTAGCGAACTCAAAAGATAGTGACGATCTTCAAAAGTCCGAGGCAGCCTAAAACGGATAGCACCTTGGATCATTCCCACTTCTTTCATTACTCGAGTTTATTCGCGAAATTGACCGTAATAACTGTTATTCCTGCGTTCAACGCTCATCTATATATTGTGTAGTTGTTGTTCTTCTGCCCCTGAGGACGCTAGGTTCTGTACTCCAGCACCTATACATTCAGTAACCAGCTAAAGACTCATACCACATCCCGCTATACCAGAGCAAAAGCTTTTACCCTTCGATCTCGTCTGGGCGGCCATGGTGCCACTCACACACGCACCTTGCGCAAGGTCGACGCCCTGAGTTCCACTCATACAGTTACCCGCGACGCCTGCGCTGATATTCACACAAGCTGGGTTGCAGGGGTATATCTCGCGATGAATGTCTGGATCGCGCGTGTAGGGCCCGTAGTCGGTCTTCCTTGACAGGGCATTGTTGGAACTCCCACCGCTTTTACTACCACTGCGGTTATGTGACCGTCGCTGGGCTTTCTCCCAACACGATTCAAGCTGGGTGGTTTTGGTCTGCACTGCCTTTGGATCAACCTGGGCCAAAATGCGAACGGAATTATGGGATGAAATATGCGGCCCTTTGCTTTTATCTCCGTTCGTAGTATTATCCGCGCTATTGTGAAGAAGAGCAGCGTTGGTTTTGGCATTGAGGGCAGACGGCGATATCAACCTGCCAAGTCCTTGGTTGTTGGACTCGCGCACGGCCTCGCAATACCAGCACGTGCATTCGCTGTATATCTTGCCGCCAGTGAGCTTTTGGTATTGTCTTGAGGTCCATGCAAAGGCATCGTTGAGTTTTATCTCGTCGATTTTGTCGTCGTGGTTAATGAATACTCCCTCCATCCGCGCAGTAGAGAAGGTGTAATAGCGGATGGGAGAAAGCTGGTGCGTATGCCATATCAGGTCGACGTCCAGAGTGGGGACAACAGCATGGCCTTTATTCTTGGTCATTATTTGGAAAAATACCCCGTACTTGCTGATGAAGTGAGTCATGGTCGATCTCACGTTTGGCGAACGTATCCAACCGATATTGTCCATCTTGTCCACAAACGTCCCTTGCCGTATGACCGCCCCGATCAAGTCTATGGCGAAGGGTGATGAATTGTCCCAATATCTGGAAAGCATATTGCGAAGAGATATCCTCTCTGGCATATTTGAGTTCCCGGAAGCCAGCATTGTCTTGTTCACGCGACGCATTAATGGACGACTCTTCAGGAATCCTTCAAAGTGGTCGCGGATGGTTTCAATGGTGGTACGTTCATTTTCAGTGAGGTCTGTAAGCTGCAGGATCTCGCTTCTGATGCCTTCCTTGATAAGTCGATTTGGGAAGGACACATTGTCGCCATTTTCATCGTCGGCCGGAGTGCCATTCTGCGTCAAAAGCGTGCCAGGCATAGGCATATCATCTATCAGCAATTTCTGTACGTCACTGCGAAACTTTTGCACGCGAAGACTATCGTGTGTGATAGTGAATTTGCATGCTTGGCATGAAATCCGCAAAGATTTGTCCGCATATCCAATGCAGTGTGCATAGGCAACATCTGTGTCACATCCAAGTGATCCTTCCGTCCAGGGAGCACGGATCTCTTGCTTACAACCGAAGCAAAGAAGAGACTTTGCGGGGCTTTCGTGAATATTTTCCCAGGGGTGACCCGTTTTCGTCTCGAAATTTACTCTGGCTTCACTGCCCGGGTAGAAGACAAGTGTCTCATTGTCGATGGATGCGTTTATTACATCCCATGGCATCCCGGTGGCCCAGACACTCATTTTAGATTGACGCAGACAATCCTCGAGAAAGGCACGCGGGTTAAGCATAAATGCATGCCAGACCATGATAACATCTAGATGGCAAATTAGCAAAAGCTTACACAGCTCCAAGGTTTAGAATAACTTACCAAGTGGTGGTATCATATTAGCAGACCATACTATTTTGGCTTCAGGTGAACTATTCAGCGATGAGATGCGACGGGTATTGAGACTTGGTAGACAAGTCTGCCACCAAACAGTAAATCGGTCCACCGCTCTGGCGACATATACCGCCCATCTCTTCTCCTGAATTCGGGCAGCTGCCTGGGCTTGCTTGCGCGGGTCCCCGAAGTTCTTGGCCTCACTATCATGGATTCCGAACAGTTTGTCTGTTCCTTTAATGAAGTATTGAAGTTTGGCGACCGCGGATAAAAACTTCAAATGGATGATAGATTCATCAATAGCCACAGTCTCTTCAGATTGAGGAAATCCATTGGAGGACAATCTGTGTGGTAGGTTTTGTTGTCGGTAGCTGGGTGGTTCATCGATGGGCTCGGTTGTGGAAGAATATGGTGGAGGGTTAGATACTGCGTCGGCACTTGCCTCGACACTTTTGCTACTGTGTTCCAGAGTAGGATTTCCCATTTTCGCAGAATCAATGGGAGGAGGGAAGATGTAAAGAAAAGAAAAGAAAAGAAAAGTGAAATGTACGGGGTACAAATTCAACATACCCCAGGAAAGATCGTCGCATTCTGCCGCGTGCGCAAAACATAGCCCCGAGATAGCCCCCAAGGCTATAAAAGATATGATGCAATGCCAAGAGGCTAACACTTTCTCTTTTCTTGGCTTTTAGCCTTTTTATATCTAAATTGTAGCCAATTCACAGTCGAAGAAGGATTAATGATGCTGTTCGATGAAGTTAACTACGTAAATTATGTGTTATCTGATTAAAGAAACTGGATTCTACTCTTAGAACACCGTATTTGCCATAGTTGGCTTCTCAATGAACTGGTCGATACCACCCGCAAGGCTACGCCCGGCGATGATCTCTACCAAGACGACTTTGTTTTAGAGCGATACCATCTATCTATCTTTAAATAGACTGGATTCTCATTATAATATCATGATCAACGTATCAGCCTCTAAAACTAGTAAGTACGCCGGACAGAAAAGGTCGAATGTCTATGCATGCATGCACCTGCTTTTGGTTGCCTAATTACTAACTAGCCCTAGTGACTTCCAAGGTTTGATCATTCAGATCAACATGTCACTTCGGGCCTTCGATCTCATCACCTAGCTCATCAACTAAAACCCGTCTCCCCAGTCGGTCAGATGGTATGGCATCAGGGGATACGCCGAAGTCGAGAATCTGTATGAATCAGCAAATTATAAACGGGATATCAACTCGAGCGTGCACTAACCTCGATATAGGTCTGGCCCCCACGTTGAACTGCCGCAACACAACGTTGGGCATCGAACTGGACTTGCCAGACACCGCTAAGGTCGGCGAGGAGGTCCCTTTCAAGTAAACCAGTCCGTACATCCCACATCTTCACATTCCTATCGGAACCGGAGATTATCTTTTGACCATCGTGCTGGAAGCTTGTGATCGCTGAAGGATGACCGCCCAACACGCTCTGACAATGTCCATTTTCGGGGTCCCAAATTCTAAGTGTAGCGTCCGCAGAGGCCGAGACGAGTATATCTTCTTTCAAATCCAGTATGCCCACCAACGATGTGTGACCTTCGAGATTATATAGTAACGTACCTGTATCAAGAGACCAGATCTTAACCACATGGTCCATTGATCCACTGATACAGCGGTTCCTCTTCTGGTCCAACGATACGCTATAAACCTTCATTGTATGGCCTTGTAGCTGATGTAGGGAGTCCCCGGTGGATATCCTCCAAACTCGCACGGTACAATCGTAGCTACCGCTGACCAGTGTATCCCCATGGGCTGCAACTGCTCGCACGGAGTGTTGGTGACCAGTCAATACCCGAATAAGATATGGACACTCCTCATCGCCTTCAGCAGGAGGGAAATACTCCGAGTCGCTTTGTTGAGGAAGTTTCCAAACACGCAGTGTCGAATCACGGGATCCCGAAATGATTAATGGTTGTTCGGGCATCATCACTGGCGTACCATCCGGGTGCTGGTCAATTTGAACTGGGAATAATATCTGTAAGTTCCGTACTGTGGATGTGTGACCTTGGAATAAATGGGTGCACTTGGCTCTCTCAATGTCCCATACTCGGATGGTGCGATCTGTCGATGCAGAGACTAGAGTATTGTGATGGCATTCAAGGCCCCATACACCACCTTTGTGGCCTTGTAGTGTTGCTCGAAGTGACCCGGTCTTGGTGTCGTACACGTTGATTTTGGCATTGTCGCTACCGGCTATAATCTTGTCGTCGTCGAATTGTAAACAGGTCACGACATGTCGATTGTGTGCTTTGAAGGCAAGATGCGTCGGTTTTGTATTCTTCCACATGAGGCTCTATTTATGAGAGCACAGCGGATGCCTTTGTTTGTTCAAGAGGTAGAATTGCAATGGAAAGAAACGGCATTGAAAATAGAAAGGGAAGAAGGGATGAGATTGCGGGGTATATCTGCCTGGAACGGGGGTTAGCCAGTTGGCGCTGGGGACCATGGCGCCTTGCTAGGGGACACACTAGGGGGAATGTTAGTGCCATTGCGGGGGAGAGGTGGAGGGAGATTGGGGGTTCTGTCCCCCCGAAGCCACCGCCGAAGGGACCAGCACGTGACTTCGTGATATTCAAAACAACCAAGTCCGTCAAAAAGTCAAAAAGTCACTCAGGGGTTGGCCCAAGTGGCCCACTTTGTATGGTGTTTTTGTCGTGCACGTACCACCTCCATACAAAAATTGTCCCCCAGAGCAATTTCTAGCCACTTTAACTGTTGTGTGCACTTTTACCCTCCAAATGGGGTCGGTGGGTATGTGTAGAGATGGCGATAATTCATCGTCTCTGCTAGTAGTACATGTATCAATATTGTAGAAATTGTTTATAATCCCTCTCACTACTACTACTACATTGAGACATAACATAACAATAACAAGACTCAAGATGCATCAAAAAGAGTTGATATGCGCCATCTAATCTAAAATACCATGATGCGCCAATCTGTTGCTCAAGCTGTTGCTCTATTTCCCCTTTTCCTTGCGCTTCTGTTGCACTAGTCGCCTGTCAGCACTAATGCACGGCACACACTCGCTCAACCGTCGGGGGTAGCTGTTAGTATGGAACGGACACTGTACCACATGGCCTAAATCGACACATCGCTGGGCTGGAGCATGCGTAGGTCGCTTTCGGAGACAGTGATGATTGCCGTCGGGCTTGCCGACGGGTTGGCTCTCGACTTTCGTTGCGAGATTGTTCTCCCTCAGACTGTGACTTCTTTTCCTACCTCTACCCTTGCCGTTGTTCTTGCCCCTTCCCTTGCCCTTACCCATGTCGAGAGTTGAAACCGAGTAGTGAAGTAAAGATGTTGCTTGGAAGTCTGATTTGATGTAAGCTGCTGGTTCTTGGTGCTGTGGAATTGATCTGGAGAGCTAACTTGAAGAAATTCACCTGTTTTTATACTGAAGTCGTTTCTTCATCCGGTATGTACCGTGTAGGAGTTATCCGTAGATCTAACATCTTGTTAGAGTATTCTGCATGGTATCTTTATTTCTTTGTTTACCCGACGCACCCCGAAACTCGTAAAATACGGAACGTTCTTTGATATTAAGTCACTGTGAATATCATCGGTGTCAAATATGAAAGACGCGAACGGGTTCGAACAAAGCAACTGGATAGGACTTCCCGAAGCTGAGGCCAATACGATATGGTGTCTCTGTTAGCTTTGTGTTGATTCTTCATATATTCCATAGAAAGCCATTGATCACTCGTAGTTCGGCCTTGGTCTTCGCTGAGTGTACCCTTTATTGTAGGATCTACTCTATCTTGGATTTTGTCTCACTACTTCCCGTAGCTCCTTTCTTCCGCTTTCTTTTCTTTGTAGATGATCGTTCTCGAAATGAAATGAAAATGAAAACGAAAAAAGAAACTTGGAGAAGGTTGAAAAAGCCATTGAAAGTTAGTGGTTTCAAGTAGTCCGCAAATTCTTGCGTTGATTTCATCTAGAGTGTACCTCGCATGGTAACCGGATAAACAGATAGTAAGGGACGCTCACCGGCGGCGATGAGTATGTAAATAACAATTCATCAATCCTGACTGTATGAGAAATCGAAGAAAAATAAATTGGATTAATCAAATCATACACGAAATAAAAACAACCATAACAGAAACCAAGAAAGGAACGTCCAAAACTCCATCTCATGTGCTCCTTGGGTATCTCGACGAACGCTAAGAAACGCAAGAGCAAATCGCGACTTGTCTGTATATCAATCATCAAGGTGTCAAAATCAATTTGCCGCCTTCTCCAAGTTCGGTGGAAGTGGTTGACCGTCTCTGTAAAACAACACATCAGAATTGCTTCCTACACACACCACAGACGAGAAGAGTATCATGACATACCTGAGATACTTCCTCTTCAAATTGCGAGCACGGTCTTTACAATTCACCTGCGAGCGACGCTCAAGCATGGGACCACCTTCGGAAGGCGGGCAAGCATTATCCTGCTTCTTTATGGCAGCATAGGCAGTGCCATAAATCCCCATGAGATAGATCAGACGTTCATCTTCTTCCTCTGTCCATCTGTGGCTTGTTTTCGGAACTTTGCGATTGGCCATCGCAGCCTGGGAATTAGACGCTGCCCAGCGACTCTGAGTACTAGGGGGTAGTCCGTGCTGTTCGGTGGTGGTCTCTTCATCAGTGAGATCGTCACTATCAGCTGTCTGCGCTCTTCGAGGAATTTGCGATGAGTGGGAGTTGTGGTGGGAGGATTTATTGATATTCGATTGCAACCGTTCTCCGGCAGATACCGCATTGTCCTCGGGGCGCGGTCGCTTCGCAGCAGGCAAATTCTGCTGGGGCTTTTCGACTCTCCGCCTGGGGTCGACGTTTTGATTATTCTGCTCGAATTCAATGTCTGACCCGTCACTTGAGTCATCATCTGGGCCATCAATGTTCCGATTTCGCTTGCCCAAAACAGTGGAATTCCCTGCACCTTGAGTGTCATATTGGCTGATTGGCGACACGGTTCTAGCGTTACTCTGCTTATCGAGGAATCGCCGAGCGGCCGGAACCGATCGCTGTGTGTTTTCATCTCTCGGAGAATCGAAGAAACGAGGGTTGTGGCTGACATGGCTGATTCTAGCGGAGTTAGGAGGACTGGTCGATGTCATAACATCAGGTTCTGGGCCTTGGCCGAGGTCCAATTCCTCGTCATTATTCACGTAGGTGGAGTCGTCCCCGATATCTGTGTATCTCAGCTCAGGAGGCTGTTGAACTTCAAAAGAGCCGGCGGCAGAAGGGTCGGAATTATTCGGTTGGGCTGCAATACTTGTGTTTGTAGAAATATTTCGCGTCTGCGATTCAACGTTTGAGACAAGCTGTTGATGGCCAGTAGCCTGGCGCCTCATCAGTGCTGCGAACGAGGCCGGGTCTCGGAAGTTGCTATAGACGAAAGTTAGTAGCTATAGAGAGTGTGTGAAACCGTAGAGTGAGCTTACCTTTTGGACTTCCGCCGACCTGTATCTTTTGCTGCCAGCTGTGCGACTTCGTTGGAGACACTTTGTTTGGGGCCCTTTTGAGGAGTGGTGCCGGACCGAGAAGCGTTGTTTTCAGGTATTTGGTTCGCCTGGGCTGCTTGTTCTGCCTGCTCTGCCTGAGGTGCCGTATCTGAATATGGTACTATGTTCACTCGCCCTTTATGAGGAGAGGTCTGTTGGGGTCCCTGATGAGAGATGTCACCACTCGGAGGCACTGTCGATGCTTGATGCCGGCTGGGAGTCCCAACCGGGATAGAAGTAGGGCGACGAGGTGCGGGTGAATTGTGGACTTTCCCTGCCAGACGTCTGATGTCATCCTTGATTTCTCTGTCACGAACGTAGATCCAACGTGCAAGGTCCCGCTCAAACGATCGCCACCTGTATGCCTTTTTCAGGCCATCAATGTCAACGGAATCCCACTCGGAAAGTTCCTCGTAAAGCTCATTGAACCTATCGCTGACAGCAACGAGAAACTTTTCAGGAAGGTGTTCGGGAAGATGGCCATCGTCGTCCTGTAAGACACCCGGCAAGTTGAACCCACGGAACGAGCCGGGAATACTCTGGGAGTCATCTTCGATGGGCGTGAGGTCCATAGCAAATACCTGTCTTAGGATGGACAGTGGGCTGAAGTCTTGCTCATGTTGGCGTCTTTCTAACTCCGTGATGAAGAACTGTGTGCGGATACCCAATGCAAGATTGAAGGTGGCCTCGGTCGTGTTACTTGTGCCAATTGCCCTTGGCATAGAACTGTCTGCAAGGTTGCTCATGACACATGCAGGAAACTGGGAATCCAGCTGTTGGATGACCTCTGACTGGGACTCTGTACCCATGCTGGGGAGGAATATGTTGAGGGTCAACAAAGCGCAGTTTGTCATGTAGATATCTGAGATTGACGCGTCCAACTGTGCGGACGAAAGCAAATGACGAGCCTGAGAGATGTCCAAAAATGACTTGCCATCACGAGAAAGGGAAGAGTCTTCAAGTTCATCGGTCAGCCCTGCAACGGACCGCCTCAGGCGTTTGCGGTTCGGGTGGTTAGCATCCAGGAGCTTTTTGGATTCAGCTGCAAGGCTATCCGGGTTCAACTCCGGGCGAACCAAGAGATTCATCACAAGGGTCGCCTGTTGCTGGACGAACGGCAGGTGGGTCGCAATTTTATCGGCGACCTGAGAATCGACGGGCTCCACATCATTGTGACCCAGGGTTGTACCAGAGACATTGGTATGACCTTCATGGTTCTCGGGCGACTCTGGTATTACATGCCTGGGTACAACGAATCCGGGAGAAGGAGTTGAAGGCTCCTCAGCCAGCCCACCCAACCCTGAATGAAGTCAGAACACATTTCATTGTGAAATAAAAGTGATTGAACTATCAGTGCCAACAGTGAAGCAACGTGACAACAAAATGAAGTATATCGAGGCAAGCCGCGGATTAAGGAATACACAACTACGCATATTTCTCAATCCACAGTTGCCTATGACACCCACTGTGCAACATGCTGTTGGGCCACACCAAAATAATTGGAATTTACTTACAATTCCGCTCCAATGATGCTCCTTTGTTTGGCATAAACCCTGCATTTGCCTCCCGGCTCCGACTTCGCGTCATGCGGGACCCCGTGATGCGAGCCATGAAAGGCGGTGAGGGGTGATGTTTAGCAGGACACCTGCGTCAACAGCGTTGTTGTTATGGGTATTTTTCACGTTCTGATAAAAATTCGATGGACCTCGAGAAAAGAGATAAAACGAGAAGGTTTCTGATGGCTGCGTGATGAGATGGACGCCGAATGTGATGGAGTGTTGGAGCGTTTAGGGAGAAAGGAGAGAGGTGTCAGGGTTTTCGGGGCTGCGTTCCTCGGAAAAACGGAAGATTAATAACGCGCGGCCCGCTAACCTGTCTTAAGCAAGGTCGATGCCTTAGGTGACGAAATTACATCGATGCCTGTATTACAAGGCTGAAAACCCTAACCCAACACCTAAACAATAAACACTAAACCCTACTCTCCAGACCCTATCCTCTAGACCCTATTCTCCACCTAGATAGCCGTGCCAAGCCCTATTTTGACATTTTATTTTCAATGATGGCGTATTTGTGATCCACGACCAAAAGCTATCCATGTTGACCTTTGGGTTGGAGAGCAGACAATTTCATAGTTTTTACCATTTTGAAGGCATGAGGAACTAATTATTGAAAATGTGGCATTGGTTAACTAATAAATAGAGTACTTAAAATATTCAGAGCCATTAAAATAGGATTTCTACTTGATGGATTGTTATATACACGTGAAGTAGCCATATCGACCAGCGAGTGTTGTTCCTGCGAGATTTGACATTGGAGGGAAAAAGATGAAATTGTGAACCTGGCCATTGCGTGGGCCAGACATGTAATTATATTAAAACAGCACTAGGTATGTCACAAGATGCATTCATTCGACTTTTACAACAAATCAACCGCCAAAAACCGTAACAATAAGTTTCCGTGGACACATACAACCGCGGAAATGCAGCGCTTTAAGACATGGCTTCAATAAAGTAGATGACGCCAAACACAAGGAATGCCACAGCGCCGCCCAGAGTTACTATAAAAGTCAAGATTAGAAAGTGTAATGGATAACAAAGCTAGCAGAGGATACCTACCAACACGCATGCTGACACGACCAGCGATGGCCCGTCCTCCGATCACGGCGGCTGCAGTGCAGATTCCGTGACCAGCGCTGGCTCCAATGGTCACCCACCAGTAGTCCTGACCAGCTGCCATGGCGATAGTGGCAATTTGGCTGCGGTCGCCCCATTCACCGA